ATCTCACCATCTATTCACGTTGTAAATTGAATTCCACTAAACCTCTCGAGTGACATGTCATTGAGCTCGCTTTCTCAGTAAGGCAATTTAGTCTTTCATTCTTAATTTGATCGTCTTCTCTTTTTCTCTCAAATATAACTAAAAGAAACGTGGCCTCTCAAAAATCAGCGGCACCTCTTGTCATTTTCTTATTTGTAATTTTTTTTTATCATATTAGTGTTTTCTTTTGTGTCTGCAGATCTAAATTTTGTATTTATATCTATGTATGTGGTCGTTTGTTAGTGTTTTCTTTTATGTCTGCAGATCTAAATTTTGTATTTATATCTATATATGTGGTCGTTTGTCGGTTATTTGTTATCCTTATTGTTTCTACTCGATGTTCAATGAGACTCCTAAAATTCTATGACTATTTTATTTGTTGAAAATTTTGTTTATTTAGATATACAAGTTATTAATAATTTCGGAGTAGCTACCTAATATTAAGCAAGATAACTAAAAAACTAAAATGGACATTGATTCGGAGATTATAAAAAAATTTATTATGCTTTTGGAAATATATCAATCACCCCAAGGTATCATTTTCTAAGAAAGGTACCATATTTAATTTAGTCCTAAAATAAACACTTAAAATTGATAAAATTAGGAAAAATATATAATTTAAAATTTGATTTATGGCAGTTGCCTCCTTTTTACAATGCTCACAAGTGCAAATGTTAGCTAAAGTACGAACTTCGATTGGTTTTACTTAGTGAGTTTGTAAAAAAACTGAATTGAGTGGGAAAATATGATCCGATTGTCTTGGGAGACCATCCTAAAAAGTTACATACGATGGTTTTGTTATCTAGACGACTCCGTCCAAAAAAAGTAAAACGCGATGATCTTCTTATCTAGGTAGCCTATTCGAAAAAATAAAATACGATAGCCCGGTTATCTAGATGGCTTGTCCGAAAAAGTAAAATGTGATGACCTTATCATCCGGACACCTTGTTCGAAAAAGTAAAATACGAAGGCTTTATCATCCGGGCGGCCTACTCGAAAAAGTAAAATGCAATGACTTCGTTATCTAGATGGTCCGCCTAAAAAAGTAAAATGCGATGACCTTATTATCTAAACAACTCCGTCCAAAAAATAAAATGTGATCGTCTTATTATCCGAACAACATATCCGAAAAAGTAAAATGCGATTGTCTTGTTAACGAGATTTTGTTTTTGAGAGAGAAAAGGAAAACAAGGAATACTAGGGTGGAAGGGAGAGTCTTGGGAATCTTAGGGTTAGAGAGTTTCCAAACGAACATAGACTCTTTCCCGGTAACCAAAGAAAGAAAAGGAGGGGAGGGATTGGCTCGTGTAGTTGGTAATCGGGAGGTGTGAGCAAAAAACATTGGCATTCAAAGCAAGTTTTTTTTTCTAAAATCTATGATGAGACAAACATTGAAATTAAATCAACCGACAATCAATTTGCACATACCGAGACTAACAATTACCTTGAATACTCCATAGAAATTAAATCCCAAACTCATCATCGTAGAACATTGAACCAACCTTATTTTTACTCAATTCCTAAGGGTTACCAACCCTACGGGTTTAATACACTATGACTTATCTTGGCGTACTTCAATAATTATTTATGAAATAATTAAAATAATTGATTATAATTTTAGCATAACTAAGTTTAAAATAAAAATAAATTAAAAAGTTTTAATTTAAATAAATTAAAAAAGATTAACCTAATTAGTTAATTAATTAAAAATAAAATAAAATAAATTAATTCTAATTATAACCAAAATAAATTTAAAATAATAATTCAACCAAGTTATAATTAATTCATTAATAATTCAACCAAAATAAATTAACAAGCTTTAATATAAATAAATTAATAATTCAAACAATGAAACATAATTAACCTAATTAACTTAATTAAACATAAATCAAATTAACTTAATTAATTCTAATTCAAACCAATTAAATTTAAAATAACAATAAATTAACAAGTTTTAATAAAAATAAATTTATAGTTCCACTAATTCAACATAATTAACCTAATTAATTAATTAATTACAAATCAAATTAACTTAATTAATTCTAATTCATACAAAATTAAATTTAAAATAATAATAAATTAACAATTTTAATATAATAAAATTATAATTCAATCAATTAAACATAATTAATCAAATTAATTAATTAATTATAAATCAAATTAACTTAATTAATTCTAATTCTAACAAAATTAAATTTAAAATAACAATAAGTTAACAAGTTTTAATATAAATAGAATTATAATTCAACCAATTAAAGAAAATAAACCCAATTAATTAATTAATATAAATCAAATTAACTTAATTAATTTAATTCTAACCAAATTAAATTTAAAATAACAATAAATTAGCAAATTTTAATATAACAATACTTATAATTAAACCGATTTAAAAAATTAACCTAATTAACTAATTAAATATAAATCAAATTAACTTAATTAATTCTAATTCTACCTAAATTAAATTTAAAATAAAAATTAATTAACAATTTCTAATATAAATAAAATTATAATTCAACCAATTAAACAAAATTAACCTAATTAAAAAATTAAATATAAATTAAATTTACTGTAATTGATTCTAATTCTAACCAAATTAAATTTAAAATATTAATTAAATTAACTTAATTAGAAAAATTAAAAATTATAATTAATTAATAAATTTATTCTGATTCAACCAATTAAACAAAACTAACCTAATTAATTAACTAGACATAAATAAAATTAACTTAAGTAATTAAAAATCAATTTTGATTAATTAACAAATTAACATAACAATTAACAAAAATTTTTAAAAAATTAACAAATTAACCTACCAATTAACCAAAATTAACAATTTAACAAATAAATCAACAAAATAACAATTAAATATATACATAATTATAAATCAAGCAATTAAACTTAAATAAATCTAACAATTACAATAAATCACTAACTTTAACTAAGAAAATAAAATAAAGAAAAAATTTACCTAATTCGAGTAGAATTCTACCCAAATGAGGGATGGAAAAACGGGGTTTTTTTTGTAGAGAAAAGAGCCCGAAGAGGGTGTGGATTAATTAAGAGTGTAGGAGTGGAGCTTGGTGGTGTTTTGGAAGGGAGGGAGACCGACGACTATCGGCTAGAGAAGGAAAGGGAGAAGAAAATAGGGGAGGAGAAAAAAGAATTAAGTTTATCTAGGGATTGAAAAATAGCGACGGTCGTGATCCCCTAGTTGATCCGTCGCTAATCCATTATAAAATGGGAGGCTAATTTATCACGAGTTGGCCATCTATTTTTTATATATAGCGATAGACGTAAGTATCCATCACTAATTGAGCGATTTTGACTTTCAAAAAATTTGTCTAATTTTTCACCTTTAGCGACGAGACTTTCTTGTTGCTAATTTATGAGGGATGTTTCTTTTAACGACGGAATATCCATTACTAAATCCGGATATTAAAAATAGCAAAGGATTAGCAATTTTGTCACTATTTTTTCTAGCAAATATGTCGCTATATTGAAAGTATATATATATATATATATATATATATATATATAAGGTGTATTTGAATAATTTGTTAGTTCAATTAAAAGAATTATTTTAATTATTTGATTTCAAAGAAATTGGTTTTACAATGTTAAAAAAAATATTCATAACAAATAGTTGGTATTATGTGTAAAGATATATAGTTAATTTTTAATAAAACTAATAACTTAATAATTTTTTGTATACATTTTGACTATACCTAATGGATCAAGATAAATTATCTAAAATATATTTTTAACCTTTTATAGCAATATATATATATAGAACTTTAATTTAAAAATTATAAGAATGCGTGATATATATTATATCAATTTATTTATTAAAAAAACCGTGTTTTAAAATTTTATTCTAAAATTCAAATTCAGATAAAATTTCATATTTATCGATAAATAAAATTTTATGTAAAAAATATTAATTGAATAAGAATTTTCATAAAAATGAAAAATTCAAAGAATACATTTTAAATGGTAATAGTGATATAATATGAAATATATGATAATTTTAAAATAGAAAAAGATAACATAAATATTTTATCCTCTCCATACTGCGTGAAAAATACAAATAATAATATTTGATGCTCCATAATTTTTTCTAAAACTTTTTAATTAAAAAACAAGGGAAAAGAAATTAAAAAAAAAAAAAAAAACCAAGGACCAAGCCCGCCCGTGCGCCTAGGCTTAAAGCAACTGGCTTGCGCCCTTAGGGCTAGGTAGAAAAAACTGATTTTTTTTTGCTAATTTTCAAGATCTCTGTAATTTTCGACAAACTTGATTTTACCAAAAATATAATTGGAAAGTCGAGTCTCTCAATTTCTGACATTCTAAAACTAAATTCAATTTCATTTTTTTAAAAAAAATATCTTAAAATTATAGAAATAACCTAAACAACCTTATTTAAAACCTCAAAACTTATTTTAATGCATATAAATTTAAAATAATTTTGATTTTCGATTTTTCTCTCCATACTATTACATCGCTTGTTATTATCAAAAACAGATTTTATTTTTTGAGATTTACAAAATAATGATAAATTTAACTATCAGAGCGCCAAAAAAATCCTCACCATCCCTGTACCCCATCTTTCTTTCCTCTTTAAGATGCAAAAACCAAAATAAAAGCCAAATAAAGTTACAAATTGAAAAGAACATTAAAAAGTAAAAGACCAAAGTGCAGAGTTTCGAACCGTAAATTGACAATAAATGAATGAATAGTAATTTTAAACAGAGTGTACGAGCGGTCTCCGTATATTTAGTAATTTGTAATTTTTCGCTTTATATTATAGCTAGATTTCCTGTAGGCACCGAAAAAAAAAAAAAAAACTCTTGCTTGTATTAGCGGAGGGGAGGGGACAACAACCTGACGAAACAGCCAATGAGATAAAACGATGATCCTAAAGGAGCCCACTCCCACCAAAACAATTTTGTCTTTTGTCAAAATTACAAAACCTGTCCTAATAGCACAACACCCGATGCCATTCCGTACACAAATATCCCGTAATCCGCGGTTCGCCATTCAGTTGACACGTCGACTTCCTCGGGGTTCCCACTACCTGTCCTCCACGTGGACTTCTGTACCATATGTTCCAACCAAGGACACCTGCCTCGCTTTTCGAGCTTCCTCCTTGACCTTGTGTTGACACGTGGAGTTTCTTCCGACCGCGAGATGGTGCAATTGGTTTTGCTTGTGTCGACAGGTGTACTTTTGGTCTCTCTTGGTATTTCTTTCCAAGCTACCATTGCCTCCTTGACCAGATCCGTCATGCAAGCTTTAAACCCTTGCAGCCTTCCAATATCTTCTTCAAAAATCTATCGAAATTAAATTTTTTTCACGAATCGTTCTATAAGTATATTTTTCATGTTGGCTTAATGTGTTTAGACAAACTTAACAAATTTTCTTAAATATTAATATCAAAATATAAATCTAAAAAATAAAATAATCTTTTTAACTACCATTTCAATTTTTTGAAATATTAGTACCAGTTGTAATTGTAATTTATAGGCATAAATACAACAATTTAAATAAATGTACAGGACCTGTTTTAAAAATTATAAGAAATAACTTAAGAAAATTGGTTTGAACAGAAAAAGTTTATTTAAAATTTTAGTTATTTAAATAAATAATTTTGAATTTAAATTCTTATATGCGTAAAAATAAATAAATAACTATATCTGTTTTGTTTTATAAATTCCACGGAACAGCAAAAAAATTATGATAAGAGAGAGTTTAACAATTTGGAGTAGATGTTTCAAAATAAGCATCGAACAATAAATTTAAGTAAAAGGTGCTGTCTTCTTCAGAAAGTCCTATTCTTTGAATTTAATGCCCTAAAGGTGAATTAATATTTGAAGAATCCAATTGCAGTTTTGTAGGCCCTCCACAATTAAATCATTGTTCTGAATTCAATAATGTACGTAGTTGGTGCAGTTCACACTCACGTTGATATTAAAGTCATAGGTGCAATAATTATTATTACCATCAAATTACAAAAATAAGCCCAAAGAGGATGTGAACTTGTAGCATTCACACAACACACTTGCTTTCATTTACTCAACCAATTGGATTAGCAAATGCTTGTGACAATAATAATTAGAAAAACATTGCACACTTAAAACTTTCACGATGAATCCAGTGTTCTTTTTAGTCGACTACTTTTTTGATACGTACTTCACAAGTGTATTATTTAACTAGTTTATATCATTTTTTTAATTTATAATAAATTGTTTGCAATTATTTATAAATGAATGGATTTGAGTTTTTATTAAATAAACATGTCTTGTTTTTAAATAATTTAATATAAATTTTGATAATTATAATTAAATTATTTTTGAAGTTTTTCACCATATTGAATAATTTTAGTTGGACTTATGTAAAAATAAGGGACATAAATTGAATTATTTTTCAAATTTTAATTAGGATACATGCATATCAACTTAATATATATATACACACACTAAAAAAAATTCATCTAGAAACTTTTTTTATTTCAAAGAGTTAATTTCAATTACAGGTGATGTGAACATAAATTAACAATACAAAGCTAAATAAAAATTTATAACTTTTTTTAATAATCTTGTCTCTTTTTAATATTATTAATGTTTGTTCAAAGAACTAAGAAATAATGTAAGACAATAATAAAAAATTAACCGATGATTCAATTTAATAATTGGATGAATTTCGATATAATTTTATTATTTTTGAGTTTCAATATTTTATGTTTTTATTGGTTTGTTTTAAAATCTTTTTAGAGTTTTGATTGTTAAAATAAAAAGGTGAAATACACCTCGTGTTTTTATACTATTCAATATTCAATATTGTTTAAGAGGAACTAAAGTAACCTATTTTATATTATTTAGGATTTTAAATGATGTGTAAATAAAAAAAATGGATTGACCTATATTTTATAATTTATTATAAAAAATAGCCTGTTCTCTAGGAATTAATGCCTTTTTTCTTTTACTGTTATTGATTTTGTTCTTAATTAGAGATGAGATTGAATTTGTTTGTCTATATTGGCAGTATACTATGATTTTAGTATTATATTAAAATGTATAATAGTCAATCAATTTTTTTTGAAGGAGTTCATTCTTTTACATATAGTTATTGATTTTTTTTTTTTTAATTTAAACGTTATAGGTATCTTCATGTCAACTTTTATACATTGAAATTAAGTCTTCTTCCAATTGAATTTTTATCAGACTATACCTCTAAGCCTATTCGTGGGGGAAAGAGAATTTGGCTGGGGTGGCAAGGGCATTGAGGTGGCGCGCGGTAAGCAGAGAGGGCTTAAGGGTTATTAAGCCCATTTCCACAATTTGAGCCTTTAGTAATAACTGAACTCTCTTGACGCTTGGGCACTTTTTTTTCCCCTCTCCCTCTCTTAATGTAAATCTACCTCACATGACCTTTTTAGATTCTCTTCCCAACTTTCTCTTTGAAAAAATATGAAAATAAAATCACTAGAAATCCATTGACAAAAAACGAAAAATTCATCGACAGATTACTCTGTCTAATCACTCGTGTATATTTCTTGGCACCAACTTATTAAGCTGATTTTTTATTTTTTATTTTTCCTCACACGCAGACACACTACCACCCCACAAGAAAATCACGTGAATCCAGTGTAAAGGTCACTGCGGAATCATTTTATTATTATTAATGCTATTTCACGAGAAGAAATAATTTAAATAGAGGACAAAAATTATGTGGAATTATATTGATAAAAACTTCTACATTGAATGGCTCCCCTTTTTTTCTTCTCATTTCTTCTTGTTACTTTTTGCTGTGAAATTAACATTCCTCCGTCTTTTAATTTATGTATGACAGCCATGAAATATTTGAGAGTTCTGACATACTACAACTATTCCTTCAAGATGGGAGTTACAAATGATAGGTCACCGAACATTTGCATGGATGAGAGGGTCCATTATGCCTTTTTCAAAAATGAAGCAGAGAGAGAGAGAGAGAGAGAGAGAGGAGCAATGACTATTCAAGGACCAGCCATACCAATTGCCATGCCTACAGGTAGCGCTACATCAGAGGTAAATCTACTCTGATCAGTAAGCTGAAGTTCGGAGCCATCAGCACTCTATTCCTATCAGGACCAACAGGGTTTAATTCCAAGTTGAGCAAACTCATAAAGATACTTCAAGTCTAACACGAAAGCTATGGCTACCAAAACAGAGTTGCCATGTACACAAGTATAACCAGGCATCTGCAAGTGTTCCAGCTAGACACTTTTTGGGAAGTTGAAACTACAACCTTTTCAGTCAGCAAGAATGATTGATTTATATTGTCGAAAGCTCCATGAGCATCTTGTAACCCATCTTCTCAGTACACTAAAAGAACTGTGTCAAGAACCAAGAAAAGAAATTCTAGAGATGGAATTCTTCCCCCAAAGGTTGCAGATGCCATATAACATGGGAGCATCCACTCATAGACAAATTTCCAGAATCTCTTCTACAAATAACCCTACAAAGAAGAATTATGCAGGCGAAATTTCCTTTTTCTGTTAGTTCAATTTTCTTTCCTCCTACTAAAAGAATTGACAGATTGAATGAAGACGTATGTGCAACACGTGTGCTGAGAACTTGGAATTTACAGTCAAAAAATTGTGTTGGAATTCAGTCTCAAATCCTCATGAGACCAAATTAATGAATCATCTAGAACGATTGCGAATCTCTTCATTAAGAAGCTGTGTCATTAGACCAGGATTAGCTGTTGGCTTATTGTCGCTTAAAATACGACTCAATGAGATCAACTCTTCTGGGCTTGCCTTCTTGAATAGGCCTCTAACTATCGTATCAACTTCAACAGGTAACAACTGGCTCCCAGGGGCTTTTCTATTATTTTGGTCCTCATGTGTTCCCTGGGAATGTCCTGCGTTGACTTTGGATTGAGAATGTTGCGGAATCTGGCCTTGTGGCCGTGAATATGGCCTGGAGTCCCAATAATCTGTACAAACTCGATTTCTGTCTATCGCTTCTATGCCCTGTTTATGGGGAAAAATGGAGAGCTGAATTATATTTAATGTAAAAGCATTTGCCAAAATATAAAGCTGAGGAAAAAAAAAATTCAGAAATAAAAGCAGTGTGGAACTGTAGATATTAAAAAGTAAACTGTGTTTTTTTACAGTTCCAAATACGATGCAACTTAGGCCAGGTTTTATACAATATGACTGAATATAATGTAATAGCGTGAAACGAAGTTTATCAATGTCTTTAGAAAGCTTGCCAAACTACTACCATGAGAAGACATATTTTTCAGCCTCAGATCGTCAAAAATTATAAATTTAAGGTACAAGCTAAAGAGTTGTATCGTTTTTTTCATTTCAGAAATTAAAAACAGGGGAGCTTGCACAATGTTTAGAACATGTTATTCAGGACTAAAAATATGAATTCTATAGGAAAAAAAGGTCCTCTAACCCTTCGTGTTTCAAACTTGGTCAATTAACACCAAAATTGATAAAATGTTTGTCAATTAGCTCCAATCAATAATTTAAGTCAAATAGGCCCTTAAGAGCTAAATTGCGCTTTTAAACATACAGGTACTTAATTTAATTTTTATGAAAAATTTCCCCTATATGAACTCGTGCTATTCACCATCGACTCCCCACCATTCCGACCACCAAATCACCTAAGTGGAGGCCAGATGGCAAAGATCCCAATGTTGAGGATTCTGGAATTTTTCAGAAGTTCAATTCTGTCCCTCAATTTCTGAGAAGTCCAATGTCATCCCTTTTGAACAGCCTGATTTATGGCAGTTATTGATTGGAGCCAATTAACCAACATTTTGTCAAATTTAGCAACAATCAACCAAGTTTGAAGCACAGGTAAGAAGACCATTTGCCACAAACACAAGTGGCAAAAGGATGGTTTTGTCTTGAAATTATTAAGAAAGGATAAACTGTGGGGAAATAAGCCTGCTGTAAAATTACCTGCACAATTGCTGGTGAAGAAAACCCAAACATTTCAAAGCCATCAAGACTTCCAGGAGGTTGTAAAGGAGGAAGATTCGTTCTGCCAGATTTATGCTGCTTTGTGATCTCCTGATTCACTCTCTCTCTCACCATTTCCCAGCATCTGGATGCTGAAACATGAATGAATACCTCATTTGGGCAGTGCTCCAAGGAAACCTGAAAAAACCAGAGAACAACAGATTAGAAGTGAAATATCAGCTAAAATTTATACATATCTCAACGCAAGAACCAATTACAGTCTCAATCTCTCAGGTGAGAAGTTCATTGTTCAAAATAATTGCATGC